AATGCTTCCAGTCTTGTTTCTGCAAAACTGAGCACTATTCTAGGAGTACACGGCTTCATCTTTCTTCCAAAAAGCAGTTGGTGGATTTGAACTCCTGACCTTTCAGTTAGCAGCACAACCAACGATGCTACCAGAGCTCCTGCTGTCCTGATACCAGGGGATCTTAGAATCCATCAGAAGCCACATTTATATCAGTTTCTGAGTGCGTGGACACTATGTGGCTGAGGTTTCAGACTTTTTCAGTCAGTGTCGTCGGATTTAAACTGAGCAGGCTCCCGGGTGGAAACTGGAGATTTGGGGATGGAGGGGGAAACAGAAATGGGGAAGTACAGCTGGTCCTTTGGCTAGGGATCCCTAATTAATCCAAGAGAGACATCATGAGACAGGGTAACCTGGACAGCTGCAGTGACAGCTGTAGCAGCACAGGGCTGGGGACAAGAGGTGGACACCATTCTGAGACACAAAAAGATGGGGCTTGCCTGGGAAGCAGGGGTGTGGCCCTGAGACTGCTGACCCAAAGAACTGGAATGGAGGACCTTCAGGCTGGGTTTGCTGGCCAAATAGGGGTGGCACATTACAAAGCCTGAAAGCTTTGTGACTCTATCTCAAGTGGAGCAGAGGACAAGCAAGGTCGAGGGGCCAATGGTCAGAGAGGGGCCAGCTGATTGGAGATTGGTACCTGGAGTGTTCCCCATCTGTACAGTAGCCCGTTGTTTCTCTAGTATACCCAGTCCTGAGTATCATCTGTGGGTTCTGTGTGGCCATTGTAACAAATTAGGGAACCTGGCGGAGGGCTGATGAGTGCTGTGGGAGGGATGTTGATGCTGGAACTGTTGAAGGGGTAGAAGGTAGGCAATTCCAACATCAATATCCCTCCCACAGCACTTACCAGGCCAGGTACTGACTGTGGGATAATCAATTGCTATTTTCCATCGAGTTGCCTGCAAATCATAGTGACCCTATGTACAATAGCTCTGAACCCTGTCCTACCCTGAGGCAGTCTCACTGACTCTGATACAACTACCTCCTTTGCCCAGTTACTGTGTCAATCCACTTCATCTATGGTAGAACGCTCCTGTGCTGTCCCTCAACCCTTCCAAGCATGGTTTTCTTCTCAGGAGTCTGGTCCCTCTCCTGGCCATGTACCTAAGGTATGTGAGAGGGAGCTTCAAAATGCTTGCTTCCAAGAAGAAATTTGCTTTCACCTTCCCTACAACAGACCTGTTTGTTCTCTTGGCAATCCAGGGTATGCTCAATACTCTTCTTCAGCACCACAACACAAAGGCATCAATTCTTCTGTCATCCTTAGTCACTGTGCAGCTCTCTGATGCATAGCAAGTTAATGAAAAGACCATGGGCTGGATCAGGTGCACCTTAAGTCTCTAGACTGATGTCTTTGTGCTTCAGCACTCTGGAGAAGTCCCTTACAACACTTTCCTAATTAGTCATGTGATTTGTGGAGCTGAGCAAGCTGAAACTTAACAATCTCAAATCTCTTGTCCATCTAACACAGTGCTGCCAAAAGGCCCAGTGGTGAGAATCCTTTGTTTTTTTGATGTTGAACTTCAATCCAAATTAAATACGGCAGTCCTTGACTTTCTGCAGCAGATGCTTCAGGTCCTTCTCAGTTTTAATGAGCAAGGTTGTGTCATTTACATAATGCAAGCTGTTGATGAGTCTTCCTCCATGTCTGATGGTACATTCCTCCTCATAAAGACCAGCCTCCTGAATTGTGGGTTCCATGTTTGGATTGAAGTAGGAGGCCACAGGATGCATCCCTGATACAGTACCTTACTGATTTTGAACCATGTGGTGGTTCCTTGCTCTGTTCTGACGACTGCATCCTGGTCTGAGTATAGGTTTTTGCATGAACACAATCAGGTCAGGTGCTCGGGATTCCCATTCTTCATAAGGTTAGTCACAATTTGGTGTGATCCACAACGTCAAATGCCTTTGAACCATCAATGAAGCGCAGACAGGCTTTCTTCTGGTTCCCTCTGCTTTTCAGTCAAGCAAGATCCATCTGACATTGGCAAGGATGTCCCTAGTGCCAGAGCCTCTTCTAAACCCAGCCTGTATTTCTAGTAGTTCTCAGTAGCTGTACTGTTCCAGTCATTTATTTTCTATAATTATATTTTATTAATTTTCATAAACATCTACAGAGATTTTGGGTTTCCATTCATTCACCGCTGCACCATTCTCTCTACCTTCCTCCCAGTTTGTTCTTGTCCAAATGCCACAGTGCTTGTCAAAGCCAGTTCTGATTAACCTTCTTTGTCAGTGTGTCCTTTGCCATTCCCTATCACTCCTCCCTGAGAGAGACTTCACCCTGAGTCATAAGGAAAAGGGGATGGCGTATTCTCTTAGCTACTTCCTGCTGAAAAGGGACGCTGTGGGTTTCAGGGTGAAGATCTTCTTTCACTACTCTAAAGGGCCCCTTTGGCAGTAGGAAACACATAGACTATTATGGAGATTGATTTTGGAATTTAGATGCACTCTTATTGATTGTGCTTGGCCATACATGTTCATATCCTTGAAGATGTATCATGGGGTTGTTGCAACCTAGAAGACACAAATTTGACTAACAAGTTATAAGTACATGAGTCAAAAATTATGGAAAAGTAAAAGATTCTTTCATTGTTTTACAAACCCTCCCCCAGGTCCCCTCCACCATGTAGCCCTCGCTCTAGACTCCTGTGATGACAGAAATACCTAGTTATATATCTCTTTTAAAGTTTTCTCCCTCCTCTGTTTCAGTGCAGTATACATTATTGAACACATCTTACTCAGTCTCTCCCCAACCCTGAGGTTAGTCCCATTCTACAACAGTGGCATCATGTAATATTTGTCCTTTTGTGACTGGGATATTTCACTCAGCATAATGTTCTCCAGAGTCAACCATTTTGAATAATATTGCATGAGTTCCTTGTTTTTTAATGCAGCATAGTATTCCATTGTGCAAATATACCACAGCTTCTCTAGCCATTCGTTTGTTGATGGGCACTTAGGTTGTTTCCAACTCCTTGCTATTGTGAACAAAATTGCAATAAACATGGGTGTACATATATCTGCTTGGATGTCAGCTATGTGTTCCAGTCATTTTAAAAATAGTCTTCAGCAAGATTTTGCTTGACCATCAGGAGCAGCATCCACTTCAAAATGGCTTACCTCCAGAAACTGTACGAACAGTGCTCAGGCTGTTCGTTCAGAGGGTTGCTATGAGTCGTCTACAACTTGATGGCACCAAACAACACCGACGATGACAAAGGGAGAGCTACACTGACCTAGTGGAAAGGAAGTTATGCTACCAAGCCGAAGGTGGGTGATTTTCATCTGGGGCCCTCGGCCGGGTTCAAATTGTTTTCCTGTCAAACATTCTTCTAGGTGGTCTGTGCATTGCTGTACAGAGGGAACTCGGGTTGCTATGATGCTGAACACTGTGACAGTGATGTGCCAATCATGGTAATGGGTACTCATGGTGGACAGCGTTGGCTGGGGCTTCCTGACTAAAACAAGCCTGGAAGCAGGAGCGGTATCCACTTCCGAAATGGCTTGCCTCCGGAAACTCTATGTACGAACAGTGCTCAGGCTGTTCGTTCACAGGGTCGCTATGAGTCGTCTACGACTCGATGGCACCAAACAACATGCGTAGACTATTAAATGATCCTGGAAAATGAAGTATACAGTCATTGTACCAGAAAGAATTGGCTGACACAGAAGAATATCAAGAACAACGTATGATCAAAAGGCAAAGGTGATGAAAGAGGAAGTACAGGCTGTTTTGAAGGATTTGGCAAAGCTTAATGCCCCAGGAACTGATGGAATACCAAGTGGTCACATAAGACCATTTTCTTTGCTAAACTGATCCTTAACGTGAATCTGACCAGCTAAAGTGAAGACTGACTGCCACCTGATCGGGAGGCCCCATCAGGCTTCTGAGGTTGTAAGTCTTTACTTTGCTGCAATAGTGGATGTGAAGCACTGACCTGGTTAGCAGTGCAACACGTAACGCATCACGTGCCAGGAGGGAAAGGGCTGACAGTCCTGAGCTGTGGTGTTGGCCAGGAATAACGAATACCCCATGGACTGCCAAAGAACAAACGTGTCTTGAAGAAGTGCAGCCGAAGTGGTCCTCAGAAGCAAATCCTGGCCAACTTCATCTCACATACTTCGGGTGTGTCATCGGCAGAGGCCAGTCTCCCCACCTCCAGAGGATGCCATACTCGGAGAAGTAGTCAGTGGAGAGGAAGACCATCAATGAAAGGGACTGACACAGTGGCTACAACAATGAGTGCAGGTACAGCAGAGGCTGTGGATGGTGCAGGAAGGGGCAAGGTGTCGCTGGACAGATGGAGGAAGTGGATGAGCTGCAGGTGAACTGATGGTACCTAGAAACGAAGAGCTTTTAACTTCTCTGTTCACTCATAAGCAAGTCTCTTTCCAGTCGCTTCAGAAGTGAGAACCAGAGTCAACTGCAAGTACATCTCAGAATTAAGAACTCTTTATTCACCCTCTCCCAGGATTCCAAGTCCCACTTGAAAAATAAAACCTGCAGAGACTCCATTTAATGGAAAGAAGCACAAAAAAAACCCCTTCGATTTGGGGGCCAAAACTCATAGCCTCACTGGACCTTCACTGTGAAGGCGCCGGGCACTGGTGAGCTTGTAGGACACCTTTCCCAACCCCCAAGGAGTTAGAGACTCTTTCCATAAATAAGAACGTCTACAAATACCAGACCCTAGAGCCGACGCTTGCAGAACAAGGGCCTGAGTGTTTCTGTGGGGCAATTTCCTTTCATTTCTTGGAACTGAGCAGCGGAGGTCTGTGACCAGCACCAGCCACAGAGCCTGCAGCCTCTCAACAGCTGGGCCTCCAACTGGGCAGGAAGAGCTTGGGGACTGCCCTCCCCTAGCCAGTCCTGTAGCCTTGTTTCTCAGGTCAGCGTTCTAGACTGGGCATGGTCAACCCCAAGATGGCTGTTGTCCCAGCACCAGACCTCCTCACTGCGGTAGGACATTCTCTGCCACATCACAGCCCACTGTCTCATTAGGGCTGCCAGTTCCAGCTGCATCCCCATCCATGACTATATCCTTCTCCCCAGCTGCATCCCTGTCCACGGCTGCATCCTCATTCCCGGCTGTGTTCCTGTCCACTGCCTCATTTGGGCTGCCCCCCCTGGCTACGTCCTCATCCACGGTTGGGTCCTGGTCCATGGCCTCGTCTGGGCTGCCATGCCCAGGTGTCCCCCCATCTGCTGCCCCAGGGTCAGTGGTGCTCTCGCCAGCAGGCACGGCGACTCCTTTCTTCTTCTCCATTGGCACCTCCACTCCCATCATCCTGAGATAGTGCAGCCGCTCGTTCTTGGGCACAAAGGTGCGGAAGGAGGTCTTGCCACGCCAGCCACACATGACAATGGGGCACTGGAGGGCTTCAGGGTCCCTGCAGAGAAACAGGGGCAGGTGAGGACCAGAGCACCACTGACACTGTGTCCCAGTGTAGGACTGAGTCCTGGAGCTCAGCAGGTCAGCAAAAAAGGCAAGGGCCTCCCACCCTTTAAACCTGCCAACCTGAGTCTGCATCAACTGTGTAAGACGAGACTGGGATTCAGTGGCGGAGTCCTTTAATCTCTAAGTCAAGATGCTTTAGGCTTGAGCAAAATGCTCATGGTGATAGAAAAACTAAAGCTTTACTTCAACTCTACAGTGCCTACAACAGTATTTCTAGGAGAATGTGTACCACAGGTTTCTAGAACATTCTACAGTGCCCCCACTCACCCACCTCCACAGGACATGCATTTACTCACTTTGCATCTGGTTCATACTTCAGGACAATGCTCCCTTTCACTGGAAGAGAAATGGGTAGAGTTTGTCCAGTGTCTCAGGCAGGGGTACCTTTGCTGAGCAGGTCTGCAGGCCCAGCACCGGCTAAGTACTTTGGGGAAGGAGAACAATAATCCAAACCCTTGGTCCGCAAGGACCTGGACAGGCAGGAGGGCCATTAAATGCAGGCGGCAGCAGGCAAGTGCCGGATGCAGTGAAGGCCCTGGAAGTGGAAGACCAAACCAGACCTAATGACGTTTCAAGTTGCCATTAGCTACAAGAGTGAGGGTTAATGCCAGTCACGCTTCAAAGTTAAGAGAAATACAGGATAAACCCTACACAAATTCCCACCTAAGCTCCCACTTTCAAACATCCACAGTGCAGTCAGTCATTGCCAGTGTCAACAGTGCGTGGAAACACATACAACTGGGGACTGAGTGTCACTGCACACACAAGCTCACCGTCCCGGAGAACACAAGCCACGCTGCACACACATGCTCACCGTCCCGGAGAACGGAAGCCATGCTGCACACACAAACTCACTGTCCCGGAAAATGGAAGTCACGCTGCACACACATGCTCACGGTCCCGGAGAACACAAGTTCTGCTACACACACAAGCTCACCACCTCAGAGAACAAAAGCCAAGCTGCACACACATGCTCACTGTCCCAGAGAACGCAAGCCACGCTGCACATACAGCTCATTGTCCAAGAGAGCAAAAGCCGCACCACACGCACAAGCTCACTGTCCTGGAAAACGCAAGCCACGCTGCACACACAAGCTCACTGTCCTGGAGCCTGCACGCACAAGCTCACCGTTTCAGAGAACACAAGCCGCGCCGCACGCACAAGCTCACTGTCCCGGAGAACACAAGCCGCATTGCACACACAAGCTCACCG